GTTTGTCAGCAAATATGTACAGTAGGGGGTAGGGAAAAAACACTTTTATTTGAGTTGCAGGCTGCACTTTCCAGGCATCGTTTGTATGGCTGTAACAAACACCTGTGCAAAATTTCATGCCATTTCATGCATACTTACCCTGCCGCATCGCGAACGACTTTTTGTCAACTTTTAGTGTACAGTATACCAAAAATTAGGTGTCATTTAATGTTTTCCAGGATAATGATAAATTTTACATGGGTGACATCGATTTAATTTACATGTTATTTTACAGGTACACCGTATAGAAAATCATTACAAGTTCATATTGAAATTCTTTTTTGTGCGGAACCTTGGCATCATTTTCCTAGACAATAATCTTTGCCTAATATATCCATCTCTCGATTCGTATCCCGTCACTTCAGTGCAAGCTTCAGTCATCACTTTTATGCCTCTCTCGACCGCCTGAGTGCTGTTTGGCCACTTGGGCACCACTAATGGTGTCTCAAGAATGTCATTAACCTATAGATTTGACAGAGAAGCAATGTAAGGAGGCTCAGTCTTGAGTTCATTCCTCCAGTTAATCATGGAATGATAGTTTTTTGCTTGCCACTTTAGTTTCGGAGTCACCACCTTTCTCATGTTGACTACAGGAGGCACATCCTCATTCCCATCTCCATCTTTACCCTCCTCATCAGTATAGTTTAACAAATTCTCGTCAACAGCAGCATCAGAATCTTCCTCCTCCTCTTCAGATCTGCCAGTGCATTCTTCCTTTTGCTGATTCTCCTCTCTAATTTTTCTTATCATTGAGACAGCTTTTTCTCTAACAGTCATGTCCTCATCTGCACACATACCAAGAAGAAGTTGATCTGTGTGGGCGAAGTATGCATTTCTCTGGACAGCCTTCTTCACTATCGTCTCCTCCTCACTATTCAGGTGTTTCATATATAGCAGGGACTGGAATACGTTCCTTGAGCCGTGTGTTACGTAAGGGTGTATCTTGATGTAAAACCACATTGGAGCACTGAACTTTATTATTGTAATGACAATTCTTTTCAACTCATGGCTGGGTCTTGATGTTGCTACATACAGCCTGAGGATTCTACTCCATAAGGTGTTCCACCTTGACACACAGGGAGGACCTGGCTCAATAGCAGCCAAGTCATCTTCAACAACACCTGTGATAACTCCTTTACAAATCCTATACAGGTATTTCTGATCCCAGGACAGATCTTTCTCCACTTCATCATTAAACACAGGGAAATCAGGGAAACTGACTGGCTGGAAGGCGACAACTGGAAGCTCAGACAAAGACTCCTTGATCTGCTTTCCAATGGGACCACGCCAATGCTCAGGACCACTTGGTTTACCATCATAGTGATAAAAAACTGCGCGGAAAGGCAGCTCATTTCCGTGAAGCTGACATATGAAATAATGGAGCGGGTGACCAAGTAACATTTCAAGATGATGAATGACTCCATTTTCTGATCCTACATTTACATTGGTTCCATCACAACCAACACACACAATGGGCTGCTGGGTTAGATTTTTCTCCACCAGAAACTCGTGAATAGTTTTGGCAATCTGCTTTCCGTGTCCAGTCTTGGGAGTCACATGTGTGAGATATTCATTGCCAGGCTCAACCATGATGACATAATGATCTTTCACCATCATCCTCGAACTCCATTTCTCGGTCTTCTCATTCTTTATCATCACACGAGTGGCGGTCTTCTTACCATCAAAATAGAGTGACGTCAAATTATCTAAACTAGCCATCTCAATTTCTTGCCTCTTAAATCGGTATTTTTGTCTCGCATCCCGCAGCTTATGTGGTCCAATAACCTGACTCTTGTCATCCTTTGTGATAATGCCATAGTCAGTTAAGGTGGCAGTAGCAATGGCAGCTCCAGCATAATCACTAATCAAGTATCGGTCACAAGCGGCAGCCAGTGTAGGGAGTCTTGTCCGGTTCTGTGAACTGGTGTCTGTCAGAGCCCTTGGATCAGGGACAAAATCAGTATCAATATAGACATAGCACCATACTCATCTGCAACAAGACAACTTAAATGAAATAAGAGATATGAAAAAAAAGTTGATAAACACTGAACAGAACATTGCACCGCCACAGCGGCTGTTTGGCTAGTACTGTAGGTAAATTTAAAAATTTCAGTAGAAAATGCGGCAGACTAAACCTCGACATATCAGCTTCAAATTTGGCATGGAGTCTTAGATATGTATAAGGAACAAGGCCTGAAGAGTGCAGTTTTGAGCAAAATTTCACTGCCCCCTAATGTACAGGTACTCCTCGACTTACGACCTAATCGACTTATGACCACCCGGACGTACGACCACTGCAGTCGTACAATTTGTTTTTCAAAATACGTATTTTCGAGTCCTGACGTTAGTGATTGCGCTGTGTACTGACAAAATTTTCGTTTGTAATTCCCTTTAAAATGGCTGGCAAGCTTAAAAGTGAGAGTTTTGCGGTGCTGAGAAGAAAAAGAGACACCCATTTTAGATTTTCTATGTATAATTTTCGCATTTTCGACTTACGACCTGGATTTGGGTCCCGAACCCTGTCGTTAGTCGGGGTCTGCCTGTACTGCCTCATTCATGATACAATATTGTTTATTTGTTTTTATTAATTGGTAAATATACAGTACATTACTGTAATAATACAGTACTGGACTATGCATATACCTCATAGGTAAAAAATAATGTCATTCAAGACATCTTCAGGTCATAAGACCCACTAATCCCCCACCCAACAATGAATCTGGTCAGGTTAGTAACATGACCCAATAGTCTCCCACCCAACCTCCATCACAAGTGGTAAGATGTGATTACAGTTATGTATTACAATCAGCTGAGTGAAGTGTCTACCTACTCTAGATTAAAGATGACAGGATCTGCTGGCGAGTACAATATATACAGTAGTATACATATATTATGTTTACAGTATGAACAATATTGCACTTTTACAGTGGTGTTTGCAAAAATAACTATAGCTCCTATGAGCTGTAACACAGCTCTATTCATGCCTGTATCATACAGAACTTTTAACTTTTCTTTTAATATATTTATTTAACCAAACTTTTAGAAAAGTACTGTATTCAGGATTATTTTGATAAAAAATGGTGTATAATGAAATTAGAACTGATTTTATTGACTGATATCAACATTTCTTTTTGTTTCTGTTTTTCTTTTATGAAAGAATGGAATTCCCATCACTGTATCATATAGAAATATTTTGTTTAAGAATATCTTACTGGAAACGTCTCGTACAGAATTTATTAAGGATCATTATGGTATCAAATTCATCTCCCTATCACAATTAGCCATGCTTGAGAGGGAGGACTGACCACACGACTTCCCCCTCAACCCCCCCCCCACAAAAAAAAAAGGCTCAACTCTTCCACTGTCAAGTCTCACCCCATATCACCCACACTGCTAACCCCAGTGGTCAGGAAAAAGCCATAATATAAGCAACATATTACTGTACTCATTTTGTACTCAAATGTACTGTGGTAAAGGACTAAAATTTTTATCCCTTGTACAAACTAATATAAGCAACATATTACTGTACTCATTTTGTACTCAAATGTACTGTGGTAAAGGACTAAAATTTTTATCCCTTGTACAAACTATGAGATGTTTATATTCAAATTAATTGCTATCATAAAAGGATTCCAGCAATGTAAGTTATATTCTGCTAAGTCAAATCAGTGACATTTTATAAGATAAAAACTTTTAAGCCTAAATCCAACTTAACCCTCAATCTCTCTTATCACCTTCTGGCTGGGAGGAGGGGGAGGTGATGTGACAGTCAGGCAGGGAGATTATCAACTGTGTAGCAGGGAGGAATACTGTATATATAACCGCCATCCGGGCGGTTAAAGGATTAATTAGACTCGTCACGTTAAACTCGAACGTTATAATTCGGTCAAACCTGTTGAATACAATTCATTTTAGTATTTCAAATAAATTATACATAGGCACTCCTACATAAATGTTTAATCCAATATATATTTACATAACAATCATAGCTATGTAATTAGTCTAATCTTAACACTTACAATGAGTACTTAATTTGCCATATTTCTATATTGTCACAATGATAAATGATGCAATGGACACAGTCTATGTGTGTACACAATAAGTACTAGTTAAACTTACGTGTTGAAAGTCGAGAGAGAAACCAGGTTAGGCGTTGCTTCTAAGATATGGGTAGCTACAATGCCAGCCCGATCTCCTGGCCCACCCTGGCTGGTCGGCCGGGGCTGAGTCAGGTGATTATGATTATACATAAACAAGCTCCCCTTACACACTCCAACCTCTTCTGGGCCTCTCATCTCCACCATCTCAATACTCTATATACTTTATACTGGCAGGCACACCCAATAAACATGACATGACTTACCACCTAACATAATGTTTGTTTATGTGTCATCCTACTCATTGCTGCTTGCGGTAACACCCACTCCGTTGAGCGTTCACGCTCAAAATCAGATCAGACCTTTGATACTTAATGCTTTGTCACGTTCTTGTGACCATGCTGCCCTCAGGATGGTGGTATTCAACTTTAATTTTGTCACGTTCTTGTGACTATACTGCCCTCAGGCTGGTGGTATTTAGCTTTGTCACTTTCTTGTGACTGTCGCTGCCCTCAGGCTATCAGTACTTATCAGCTCCTTAGGACATCTCGGTCTTTTGACGTTCGGACATCACTGTCTTCATGTGTGGATACCCAATTCATTCTCCTGGCCGACTCCATCAGCCCCTTCCTTTGCTTCCTCCAACAAGCATAATTTTGTCACAGGTAGGAGCATCGTGGACGTTGTCATCTTAACCACTGCCTGTCATACGAGTCCATCCTCGCCAGCCTTGACTTCCATCACTTGACCAAGGTGCCATTTCTTGCGTGGACTATTTGCTTCTGCTATAATGATTAGGTCACCAGGGCGAAAGTTGCGCCGTGGTCTGAGATGCACTTGTCGAGTTCTGAGTTGAGAGAGGTACTAGGTCAGCCAGCGCTTCCAAAATTGATCTGCAAGATACTGGACATGCTTCCACCTTCTGTGGTATGATTCGCCTATTGACCTTCCACCTAAGGGAAGATTACCCTTTCGACTTAAGTGCAAAAGATCAGCAGGCATGAGAGCCTTTGGTTCATTTGGAGTGTTTGGAACCGGGGTAATTGGCCTCTCGTTAACTATGGCTTCCACTTCACAGAACAGTGTTTGCAGACGTTCATCGTCTAAAACTTGTGAGCCCACAATCGCCTGTAGGACCTTCTTTACTGTGCGAATCAGCCTTTCCCATACTCCCCCCATGTATGGGGCAACTGGTGGATTGAAGACCCAGTCAATATCTGCTTTCAGTAAGGCACCTCTGAGTCTGTCATCTTGCTCCCAACTTTTCACAGCCAGTTTGAGCTCTTTGGCTGCCCGGACTATGTTTGTCCCATTATCCGACCTAATACACTCTGGTGTACCTCTGCGTCGTGAGAACCTTATTGCGTTGAGGAAGGCATCTGTGTCTAATGAGGTCAAGACTTTTAGATGAACAGCCCTAACAGTTAGACATGTAAACAGACATCCCCAGCACTTGACCTGTTTCCTCCCTACCTTGATAATGAATGGACCAAAACAGTCCGTTCCAGTGTAAGCAAATGGTGCCTTTCCAGGCGTGACACGATCTATTGGTAAGTCAGCTTGCCTTTGATGCCTACTCCTCCAGTTGTTCCGTCGGCACACTACACAGCGTCGTATGATTCTATCAAGCAAGCGTCTGCGCTGGGGAATCCAATACCTTTGCCTCACACACGCCATCGTGTGCTCTCGTCCGGCATGTCCGGCTCTCTCTTCGTGCATCTCCCGCACTATGATTTCGTTGATGTGGTGTTCTCTAGGCAGCAAGATTGGCTCCTCACCACTTCGCCCAAGAAGGGTTCCTTTAATTCTTCCCTTTGATCTGAGCAACGTTCACTCATCCAAGTAAGGTTCCAGTTTATATAGCTTATTTTCCTTTGGCAGCTCACCCTTTATGACAGTTTGGATTTCTTTCTCATAAGCCTCTTTCTGCACCAATCCTATAATTGTCTGCTCAGTCGACTGTAGTTCCTCAGTGCTTAGCTTCTTCAGTTTGAGGCACAGGTCTGCGGTCCTTGTACTGGATCCGAGCCACCAAATGAACCTTTTAATCCATGCCACCCCTTTCACCAAGCGGTACCATGATGAGTACCTGAGCCACAGTTTGGCGAGGGACCATTTTGACTGCTCGCTCATTGCCAGAGCAACTACAGATCTCTGGTGTACTTCTCCTTTCACCTCCAGTAAGTCGTTCAGAACTGCTGAAAGTTTCTTTCCCTTTGGCCACCGTTCTTCAACACTGAGTAGAAAATCAGGACCTCGTATCCACCGAGATCCTGCAACCAGGTCCAGGACAGGTAATCTCCTAGTTGCATCATCCGCTGGATTCAGCGATGTGCCGACATGTCTCCACTGGTCAGTTCTTGACAGGTCATGTATGACTGCTATCCTGTTGGCTACAAACGTTTGAAATCGTCTGCTCGAATTGGCGATGTACTGCAAGACTAGCATGCTATCCATCCAAAAATAAGATTCATGTATGGTCATGGTCATTTCTTGGCGAATCGTTCGATCACCGTTCACTGCTAGGACAGCTGCACAAAGTTCAAGCCTTGGTATTGTCAATTGCTTGAGTGGGGCCAGCTTGGCCCGTCCGTACACGAAAGAGCACTGGATATTTCCGCCAGAGTCTACCATTCTCAGATAAGTCACCGCACCGTAAGCAGCCTGCGATGCATCGCAGAATGTGTGCAACTGTGCTGAGATGATTTCTTTAGCACATGCTGTTTTCAGGCATCTGGGTACACTTAATTTCCCTAGGTGGGCCAGTTCTCCTAGCCAGGTGCTCCAGGTCGTGTGATTAACAGCCAACAAAGGTTCATTCCACCCTAATCAATGCCTGCATTCACACTGAAATAATATTTTAGCCCTGATGATGAATGGGGCCACGAACCCCAGTGGGTCATAAATAGAACTGACCAGGCTTAGTACTCCTCTCCTGGTCGCTGGCCTTGAGTATGGTTGCACCTTGATGGCGAGCTGATCACCTTCCAGGAGCCACCTAACCCCCAGGGCTCGCTCCATTGGCAATTTGTCTTGCTTCAGATCAATTTCCTTCAGTGCATTTTGCCTCTCCGGTGGGATGGTAGCCAACACTCCTTTGTGATTACTGGCCCACTTAGTTAACCGAAATCCTCCGCACGCTAACAGTCTTCTAAGCTGACACGCTAACATCGATGCTTCATTTGATGAGTCCAGCGACATGAGTAGGTCGTCAACATAGATGTTGACTTCCGCTTGCGCCAGCATGTAGGGAAACTCGGATCTGTGGTCTTGAAATGTGCGCTGGAGAGCGTAAGTTGCACATGAAGGGCTCCACACCCCACCAAAGATGTGCACCTTCATCCTGTAAGTTACTGGCTCTCTACTCAGGTCTCCATTCTCCCACCAGAGGAATCTTAACGCATCTAGATGTTCTGGCGCTACATGGATTTGATGGTACATAGCCTCCACATCTGCCATGATGGCTGTAGTTCCTTGGGGAAATCTAAACAGGACTCCAAGTAATTTGTTGTTGAAATCTGGACCTTGTAGTACCTGGTTGTTCAGCGATGTCCTTTTGTGTTTGGCTGCACAGTCAAAAACTATGCATACTTTGTTTGGCTTATTTAGGTTCAACACAGGGTGATGAGGCAGATACCAGACCAGTCCAGTAACTTAGGCACTGATTCAGCATATCCTTCAGCAAGCAGTATATTTATTTCCTCTACATATCCTTGTTGCAGCCGTGCGTCCTTGGATAGTCTCCTTCGAAGCCCCTCTAGTCGACGCTCCGCCATGGCCTTGTTGTTTGGGAGTTCCGTGTTTTCATTACGGAACGGTATGGGAAATTGGTAATGACCATTAGTTTTGCTGCCTGTCTCTGACCATAGCCTCAACAATCTTTTGTCCTCAAGTGAATGAGCTGCTGACTGCAAGGCTCTTGTGTCCCCACTTTCCAGCTCCCAAAAAAGCTTAACTTGTCTTTCCAGACGGGTTTCAGAACTCACAACAGTTTCGGTCATCAGGCATCCTGACTTGCAACTCCTTGTGCACCTTGGTGCCCCACCGGTCCATTCACTGTCCAACCTGTAGGTTATGTATCTAAGCTACTGTGCCGAGTAGCATTTATATATGTAATTACTTGGCAACACTGCACGTGTTATGTGGCAACATTGCCCCGAGGCTGCCATACGGCAAGGCAGTCTCAGTCTGACTCTGTGGGCCGTGCATGGCACACACTAGTCACCACTTGTATTTCTCCTATCCGTTAATAAATGGACTTCAGTGTTACCCGGTGTTTCTCTACCCATCACTGCCTTCTTCAGGGAACACTTGGAACCTTCATGGTGAAGTAAGTAGGATCTGTGGACTTACAAGTGTGTGAACAATGGACAGTTAGCAGGCGATATGCGACTGCCGGCGATGTGCGCGTCGACTCTTAGTGTGTTGTGTTGTGTTGCGTTGTGTTTCGCCGCGACGTGCAGTGTTGCGCCATCACAGTGCATTTTAGTGACGGTGGCAGTGTTAGTGTCAGTGTATTAGTGTGTCTAGAGCTGAGAGTTGAGCATTGGCCTGTCTTTTGTGGTACCCACGCAGGTGTACACCCTTCTCGTGTGACATCCGGGGAGACACTGACGTTCTTGTCTCCGCGGCGGCTACCACAATCTGCTCTCTGAGACACACACACACACACACACACACACACACACACACACACAGACACACACACACACACGGACAGAACAGTGGACTCTTTACGTTATTTCTGCGCTGTTTATGTCATATATATGTGGTTCGAGCTGATGAGGCGCCACTTTATATACTAAACAGCGCAGTTCAAGCATATTAAGATGGGCGGTAAGAAGGGACAACGTCAAGATGGGAGACACGAATCCCCACCACCTTCTCCTCTACCGGGCACAGATGGAGTTTCTGTGCCCACCGCCCCTTATCCTTCACCTACAGCGACAGACATTGCCACAATTCTGAGGTGGATGGACGACAGGGACAAGAGACGCAGAGAAATGGAACTTCAGAGGGAGGAGATACGAAGAGAGGAGGAAAAGGCGCGCTTTGATGCAATATTGGCGACCCTGGCGCTAACCCACCCTCCCTCACTCGCAGGTATCGTGCGCCAAGGCGCCACTACCCTCCCTCCTCCACCACACCAGCGTCCTCCAGGCACTCTTGTTACTCCAACAGCTCCCAAGGCATCTGTTCGACCCCCACCCGCCCTCTCACCAGACGTCACGTTTCAGCTTTTTCGTGAGTGGAGGCGGCGGTGGACAGATTACTCCACGATGGTGGACCTTGATAGCATGCCTCCAAACAAACAGCTCATCCAACTGCGGATGTGTTTGTCGCCGGAGACCCAGAGAGTTTTGGAGCACACGTTGCAAGTGCCTCCCGATTCTAAGTCTTCAGTGACGGATGTGCTCAACCTTTTGCAGGAGCACGTTAAGGGTCGGAATAACGAGGCTTTGCGTCGCCGCGCCTTCACCAGCTGCAAGCAGGCGGAGAATGAATCCTTTGACGACTTTTTTGTACGTTTGAAGAGTTTGTCGGAGGAGATCGACGTCTGCAAGGCGCACAGCCAGGAATGTGAGGAAGCCTGGATCAAGCACCGGATTCTGACAGGTGTCAGGCAAGAAGAGTTGGTGCAGCGACTCATCCCCCTGGACGCTTCCTCCACACTCCAGGTGGTAGTGACTGAATGTCGGTCATACGAGGCCACCAAGTCCGCCACTTCTGCCGTACGGGCCCCACCTGCTGTGAGAGCTATCTCACAGTACAAGAAGGGTAAGAAGGCGTCCAACAACGTGAAGGCTGCCGCACGTTCTTCCACGCCTCCGCCTAGTGCTTCCTGTGGCAGCTCTGGAAAGCTGCATGCCCCCAAGACATGCCCGGCCGTCGACACACTGTGTCGTGGATGTGACCGTAAGGGCCACTGGTCTAACACAGACAGGTGCCCTGCACGAGGCCACAAGTGCCAGGCCTGCGGTCGCTATGGACACTATGACAAGTGCTGCCGCCAACCCAAGCCCAAAAGCCCGAGACGAGGAGGAAAGCAGCGCACTTCCCTCGGGGTGGTTAGCACACAGCCCCCTTCAGATGGCCCACGCAGCCCCAAGCAGCACCTGAGTCACATCAGGAGGGTGGAATTGACCACATGTCGCCCCAGGGCTACCCCTTCCCCTACCATCTGCGTCTCCGTCACACAAGGTGATGTGTCGGGTCACATCGAGGTGATACCGGACACCGGCGCTGATACTACAGTGATAGGCCCGAAACACCTCTAGAAACTGGGCCTCACCAAACACGACCTGGGACCACCGCCGCAGCTGCAGTACTACAATGCGGACGGTTCCCAGATGCCGGACGCTGTGGGCTCCTTTCAAGCGGAGATCACCTACGGCGACAGGTCGTGTCACGGATGGATCGACGTGCAGCCTACTCTCGCTACACCCTTGTTGTCGTGGGAGCACTGCAAGGAGTTAGGCGTGGTGCCCAGAGACTTTCCCGAGCAGATCCCAACTGCTCGTTACACCGCCAGCAGGGTGCGTGAATCAACGAGTGATGCGCCTGGCGCTGCCGCACAGAGCTGCCCAGAACCCGCGTCCACTCCCACCCACACAGGACGCTCCCCTGCCCAGATCCTGTATGGTCACCCTCTCCGCTCTTGCATTCCTGCACACGCC